AAAAGTAGGAATCTTTTCCCTCCATTTAAAGTGTTCTCCTGAAATTCACCTTCTGTGTAGCTCTCTGCTATTCTTGGAGTATTGGTGTCTTTCTTGAGTCCATATCTGTCATTCTCTTTGGTGGAGTGAGGGTCCACTTTCCCTAAAGCTGCTTCCTCCTTTTAGTATCATCCCATATCTATCTGTGTCTGTGCTTGTTTTGAGTGTGTCTCACTGTATTACCTAGCCAGGCCTAGATCCTGGACAATATTTCAGCTTCACATCCTTCCTAGGTCTTATCACCATCTGCCTACCCATCCCATCTCCCATTTTCTACCTTTCAAGGACAAATCCCCATCCTGATCCTGACTCCCCTGTATGTATTGTCTTTCCCTTTTAGAATGTAATCTCCTGGAAGGTAGGGATTATTTTTTTAATGTGCCTGGCATATAGTAACAACTTAATAAATACTTTTAAAAAATTACTCATTCTCTGTTCCTGTGGTGTTGTCACATTATCACAGAAAAGTATCCATGGAGTAGAGAGAGAGAAAAACTCTTTTACCTGGGAATCACTCCCTGGCTTGACTCCACCTGGAATCCTCAACTTGGGAACTGAAATCTTTGACCTCTGGGCCAGACAAGGAACTGCTGACCTTCCTCTGTTATATAAAACTCCCAGAAGCTGGTTAGTTTGTTTGGTTAGCCAATCAAGCTTTTACCTTTCTGGTCTAATCAGAGAGGTTCACTCTTCCCAGACAATCTTGTTTACACAAATGCCAGTGATTGACTGATTCTGTAATTAAATGAAAGAGGCATTTTCACCCATTAAAGGTACCTGGCATAGAATATTTTGTTAACTGAGGGTGGGGAGGGGTAGAGCTATACTCTTTGTATTGACATTTTGGTTTTCCCTTTCCTTTCCTCTCCTTTCCTTTCTCTTCTCCCCAGCCACAGGTTAAAATGTATCTTAGGTGAGTGGTGATTCCAGACACATTAACATTACCCATGACTGTCACTCATCCTCTGAAAGGGTAAGTCCGTATTCCTGGAGATGACCTGACGCTGCTTTCTTGCCCCTCTCTATTACTTGGTTCGGGGCATATCTTCATTCTCTTCATCCGTTTTCTCAGTTGTCAAGAACAGGACTTCAGGAGTGAGAAAATAGAACTACCCTCTCCCATGCCTCTCCTCAAAAGGCAAGTAAATGCCCTTTGATCTAGTCCCTAGGAGGCAGAGATAATTATATTTTCATGCCTGAGGAGGAGGTGGAGCTCAAGAAGGTTAATTAAACATTAGATGATAATTTGAACCAAATATATTGTCTAGATCAGAAACCCTTTTTTGTGTCAGACTCCTGGGAATCTGGTGAAGCCTGTGAATCCCCTCTCCGAATGTTGTTAAATGCATGAAATAAAGTAAGATTACAAAACATTTAAAAAGTCATTAAAATGTATTTCTAAAACTGGGTTCACAGACCCCAGATTAAGAGCCCCTGGTCTAGATACTTTGACCTACATGAAGTAGGCCAAATATGTATTGTTAGTTGTTCACAGACTAGAATGCCGTGATAAAACAGACCAGGACATGCAGGGGATGAGTGAAGGATCAAGTCTCTGCAGCCCCCTAGTGGTCGCTTACTGTAGATGATGGTTAGTCACTGAGATCCTCCCCAGGAATATTAACGTGTTTGGATTCCAAGCATCTTCATCCTCAGGGTGGTGCTCCTAGATGGAGTGCTGACACCTATGAACAAATAGCCTTTAAAAATAAGTCTAAATGGATGCAGGAAGAGGGAAGACATACTTTCTATCCTCTTAATTTCCAAAAACAGAGTTTTTCTTCCATCTCCTATTTGCTCTAGAGAAACAAAAGATGACTGGTGGGGCAGAGAAGGTTGTTCTGTTTTATTGCCATAGTTGGTCAAGATCTGGACATGGAACCTGAGGATCTGGGTTTCAATCCCCGTGTGACGCTGGGCTGGTTAATTGGTCTCTCTAGACCTCAATTTTCTGATCTGTAAAATCTATGATCTGTTTGAAACAACAACAACCCCCACAATCCCTCTTCTCCCCCAGGATAAGGGCTTCCTCTTTCCAGTCAATTTTTAGCCCTTTCTTCTTCTCCTTGCCTAACCTTTTCTCTAATTTCCCCTCTCCCCCATTAGACTAACAGAGTAAGTATGGCCAGTCTGAAATCCTGGGAGAGAGTACCTAAATTAATCAAGTCAGCTGCCAATTAGAGGCACCCCAACCCAATTCCTCTTATGGGTATCTTCTACCTTCTTTTATCACAAAGGCAGCTGTTGGCCAGAAGATGGTCAAGGGATTTGTTTGAATAAATGAATGTGTTCTTCCCTCCATTCTTTGCTTCCTCCCTCATTTTTAAAAATAATTAATATTATTCTACTTTGTGTTGGGGAGAAGAAAAATTGAAGGGGCAGGTATGGGAAGGGAGTAGTAAGAAGTTCCATTTTGCATGTGAATGAATTGAAGTAGAAATATCTAAACTGTCTCATCCCAAGAACTAAATTAAAATAGTGGCAGATAGATTCAGTTCCAAACTTAAATTTTAGTTATCTACTGACTTTCTTTGCACTTTGCTTTGGTCTTGAAAAGATCCACTCCAGAACAAAATTCAGTGTGAGGCAAAGAGTGAAGAATGATGACCCCCATTTATTTTAAGGTTGTTTAGAACAGGTTGATTTTTTTAAGTGGGCTGATTAAATTTTGGTGCTGAAGGACAATACTGCCTTGATTTATGTTGTTAAGTAATTATCTAGGCTATTGTACTTTGGAATAATTTCCAGTTTTTGTGTGTGTTCATATACTTTTTTTTTTAAAGTGTGATGCTAAATTTCCATTATCCAGATAGAAAAGGAAATAGAGAAACATTTTTTCAGGGAAAGTCCTGTGAAAAAGATACGAATCTAGGGCCCATTACCTCAAGAGGAGGAAATCCTGGAGAAATATTTTCCTTGGGAAATCAGGTTGGTGAGCTCAACTGTAAACCCAGACTAGAAAATTAGATGAGTATAGCTTTGATATTTCCAAACAGAGTGGTGATAGTTGGAAGATTTTAGCTGAGTAATAACTTTTTCTGGATCATTAATCTATTTATACTGTCAACTTTATAGTATTCCAAACTCAAAACCCTTAGAGATCATCTTGACCAATTCCCTCACTTTTATACCTAAGGAAATCGTGACTCAGAGGAGGAGCATCTTAGGGCTCCAAATCTAATACTCTTTCCTTCCCTTCCCTCCTCCCCCCGTAGAAATCCGCTTACGTCTGGGTACACGCTGGGTCCCCAGAAATAAGGAGACCAGAAGGATCCGTTAAAATGATGGACGAGTCCCATACAGATCCTGTTTTGGCCTTGCAAGTCAGAAATCTCATCATTGACAATTCCTGCAGCCTCCTCTCTGTTTTTATTCAAGAACTTGCTTTCTTTCCATCTGATCCACTTAATCTCTCAATGCATAATTAGGGAGAGTGCCTGATTGTGCATTCCACTTCAAGTGTTCTCATTTGCTTAAAACATTGAATCTCACTGTTCACACATCAGTGAAATAGAGCAGAGAAGGAGGCTGGGGATTGGGGGGCGGGGGGCAAGGGTGTACTGGGCGGGCCCGCCGCTTTTCTCAATGAAAGTGTTCTCTGCCGCCCAGTCCTGGATCTGCTTTGCATATCATCTGTCCTAGCCACCTTATTGGCTGATGGGAACAGGGCCCGGGCGTGACGCTGGCTCTCCGTTGCGTGCCTGGGTTGTGGCGGGCAGTTGGAGCCTGTCGGACCCCCGCCCCTCCAGCTTTCTCCCGCCCACTTTCTCCCTGCTCCCGCTCACAGCCATCTGCAAGTGGCTGTCGGAACAGGCAGATGCAATCCAGCGGCTCCCAGGGGCTGCAGCGGCAGGGGCAGGCGGGAGCAGCTGCCACCTCCTGCACCGCCGCGTCTCGCGGAGCCTCGGAGCAGTGAGACGCCTCCTGGATGTCCACAGCAATCTGTGGGGTGGTGGTTGGCCTGGGGGGTGGGTAAGAAAAGCTGGTGGAGGGAGAGAAGAGGAAGGAAAAGCGGGGTATTTCGGGCTCCCAGGCGCCGAATGCCTTCAGCTCTCAGCACTCACTGGTAGCTGCATTCGTTCCTGGAAACTCCGAGGAGCCCAACAGATGTGGTAAAACCAGGAAGAAGGGGAAAACTTAGTGAGTAAAGGCAGAATGTAAGGACTAGGGAGCCTTAGCTCGGCGTGGTAAGCTGAAGCGCTCGCTCGGGAGCAACCAGCCGGAGCCTGGAAGTTCTGCTGCCGGAACAGCCCCAAGGGCTGCGTGCTGCGACGGAGGATAAAAAGGGGTTGACAGAAAAAAAAAAAAGTAGCCCCTTTCGATTCCCTGACTCAGTCTTTCCTCCTGTATCCCGAAGCCAGTTCCCTGAGTGGTCGGGTAAGCTAACGAGAGAAACCCAAAGGAGAACATAGGAGGTTCGCCAGATAGAGGGAACCTTCCCTCTAAGACCTACCACTCTCTGGATTGAAAGTTGCAAAGAATCCAAGGGGATCAGGGGAGCGAAAATTGCCTCCGCGTCCCCTCTCTACTCTCCCTCAAGCCCTTTTTTCTCTTTCCGTGCTGCTGCTAGAGGTTTCGAACAGAAGCCCTGTTGTTGTAGGAGAGGAGCGCTCCGTGGAGGAGAGAGGTGAAGGGGTCCCAGCTGGCGAGTTCAAAGCATCAGGACGGATTTCAACGCTCCTTTCTGCGCTCACGCCCCCTCCCTTTCCCTAAAAGCTCCCCCCGCCCTCAGCTTGTGATCGCATCCTTGGTAGGGGCATCAAAAGCATCCAGTAGTGACTGAGCTCTCAGAGTTCCAGCAGAAGGAGAACGCCATAGATCTCAGCGACTGCTCTAAGCCCTCTCCTAGTGCTTCGGGTGGTTTTTGGAGGGTGGGCGGGTGAAAAACGCCAGGGAATTCAGTGATAAGTATTTGGCTGTCCTCTTCCTCCTTTCCTGCCTTCCTCTCACTCTGGGACAGAATGAGAGCACCCAGAATGTTCCCATCGGCGGTGCTGCCACCTCTGCTGTTACTATTGCTGGTTTCAATCCCTCGGTCACTGAGCTTGGACCCTTTTGGCTTCTCCCCTGGCAGTTCTCCAACGACGGAGCAGCCCCAGACCCAAAAGCAGCAGCCCGGACAGCAGCAGCCTCAGCAGCAACGCGAGCCACTTAGCTACTCCCGGCTCCAGAGGAAGAGCCTGGCTGTGGACTTCATTGTACCCTCGCTATTCAGGATCTATGCCCGGGACCTGCTACTGTTACTTCCATCGACACCGGGTACCAGCCTACCCGAGGCGCGTAGTTCCCTGGCGCTGGACTGCTCACCTCTGCTGCTGCTGCTTCTGAGGCGTCAGGGTGCCTCCAGGACCGCTGCTCTGCCCCACCTACCACCCGGAGGACGAGTACTGTCCAAGGTCCTGAAGGGTGGCTCTGTGAGGAAGCTCCGCAGGGCCAAGCAGCTGGTGCTGGAAGTGGGCGAGGAGGCGATCCTGGAGGGCTGCACGGGGACCTCCTCTAGTCCTCCGGAACAGGCGGCTGTGGCCACGGCAGGGATGCTAGAGTTCAACCTCACAGAGATGTTCAGTTGGTGGGTTCGCCACGGGGAAGGGCGGCTGCGGATCCGCCTGATGCCGGAGAAGAAGGACTCTTTGCCAGGCAGAGAAGTAAGACTGTCTGCAGCAATAAGAGCCTCCCAGCCTCGTCTACTTTTCCAAATCATAAGGAAGGGTGAGCTGCCCCCGTCTGCATGTTCTACCACTTTATTTTTGCTTTTATTCTGATTTGTGGTTGACAATCCCCACCCCCCCCCCCCAAAAAAATTCCAAACCCAGAGCATTTAGTTCTTAACCGGCTTTCTTCCTTCTACTTCCTAAGCTCGAATCCCCAGCCAGAATTTCTTTCCTTTACTCCTCCGAAGGTGGCAACTCCCTGGGAACCTTCCCCTGTGGCACATAGGCTTGTAGAAAAGTTTGCTACTTTCGGGAGCTAGCGGAATATTGCAACAGTCTTTCAGTGTGGGACACACTGGGTTGGAGCTATAACTGCGAAGCTCTTCTATTCTCCCCCAGGCCCTAGTGGAGAATAGAAATGATTCTTTTCCCTTAAGGATAGAGACTTAATCCTCATTGTCAAAGGCACACTTAGAACCTGTCCCTGGTCTCTCCTTCAAGCATCCACCTTCTCCCTATAAGCCATTCTGCTCCCCATAGCACATACCAGTGACATAGAAAACGCTTTCAATTTTCTCAGGGAAGCAGTTGCTATTATCGGTACCTTCCTCCTCTTAAATACACAAGTGACATAGTAGGATCTGTCTTACCTCTGTTAATTTATCCTCTTTCCTCCTTGTGATTAATTTCTGATCCCCCCCCCCCAACAACTTCCCAGAGCCCTTCTAAGGACCTCAGAGGAGTTAGGGAGCAGCAAAAGAGATGGGAGTTGGGAAGGATGATTGCTTTTCTTGAGTTTTGGGTAGGGAAGAGGATTAGCTCCCCTGTTTTTTCCTCTTGCTCTTGTTCTCCTTTTCCCCAATTTCTTAACATAGCCATCTGCAGCAGCACTCAGTGGCATAACCTGGTAGGCCTCAACACTGCAGATTTCTCTGCTGGGGAGTCCTTCAATGCTGACAGTCTTTTATCTACCAACCAATTTTATTAAGGGTTATACTTAGAGGGGGGGATGATCCACCTTCTTGTCTTCCTCAGAGTATCATTTCACTAGAACATCAAGTGGATTTGTCTGGGTATTGTGTAAATTTGAATAAAATGAAATATAAAAAGGAAAATAAACAAGCCATTAAAATCATCTTTAAGAAGCCTATACTAATTCAATTGAGCAAATCTAGCTTCTTTTGATCATCTACATCTTCAGGACTAAATGAAATTCAAATGCTTTGCTAGTTAAAAAATGCTCTTTATTAATTGAGCTGAAGGCATAGAGGAAAAAAGACCTATTGTGTAGCAACAAGTATGCTCAGATTACCCCTGCCCCATTCTCCCAATCTCTCTCTCTCTGTCTCTCTCTCTCTCTCTGTCTCTCTTTGTCTCTCTGTCTCTGTCTCTCTGTCTCTCTCTCTCTCTCTCTCACACACACACATACACTCTACATCAAGAATAGTGGGCAAATTTAGAAGCTGGGGTTAGCAGATAAATACTTTCTTGTCACTACATAGAAAAGCAGTCCTAGCATGCCCCTCTCCTGGAGAAAACAGTTTGGATGCATATTTCAGCTTGAGTGCTCAGGGCACTGGGGCTTAGTGTAGCTTCTTTGTTATCTGATGTTGAGCTCATCCTAGCTGGGGGTGGGGTAGCATGGGATTGGGGAGAGGGTTAGGGTTTGAGAAGTATGGCTAGACTATACCTTTTCTGGCAACAGGAGGGAAGGAAGGTATGGGAGAAATGATCTTCTTACCCTTGATACTTTCATAATGAAATGCTGGACTTAATTTTTGTTGTTATTGCTGCTGTTATTTATTGTTATGAAGTGCATTTGTTTACTTAATCATTTTATGTATAGTCATTCTAATGAAAGACTCTGCTGATTTCAGGAGGAAATTGAAATTTTCTCCATTTTCATTTATGCTTGCCCTCCTTTTAGACACCAGTACATTTTTTTAAACCAATCATACAATGACTGCAAGCTTTAGCATAGCTTATATTAGATGTCACCAGAGGATGTTAGGTCTCAGGCATGGGTTCTCCTATTTTCAGATATAAATGTATATTTCAAATTGGTATATATATATGTATACATATATACATACATATATGTATACATACATACATATATACATATATATGTACCTTGAAGATACCAATAGTATTTCTTAATCACATATATGTGTGTATATATATATATATACATATATATACATATATATACATATATATGATTGATGTAGAGATTATACTTAAGAAATACCCTTTGCTTTGAATTGATGGGGAGGGGGTATTCTTATGTTCAATGTCTCAAAGGGACATGTCTCCAGACAATTTCCAGAAGTGATTTTCAGCTTGCATCAGGGCAAAACCTTTCCTAAGCATCTTAAGTCCTCTTATAGTGTGGTCCACTTGGCAGCAGGACCAAACCTTTATGCATCATTTGACATATCCAGCAGGGGTTGCTTTCAGAAAGGAACACTTTAGTGGCCAGAAATTTTGGCCAAGAGTTTTTCAGCAAGCTAGAGATCAAATGATTATTGATGAGATTGAAAAAGACACTAACTGTAACTGAATGAGCTCTGCCTGACCTGTAGATAGATGGGTCACCTTATTGAATAGTGCTTCTGTCCACTTAACCACCCTTCCCCTTGGGATTTATTTTGTTGCTTGGAACAGGTTGGATTTTTCTTGTCTCTGAATATTCACATTGCCCGAGAATAAGGTAGTTGGTAGTACAGGAGCTCTACCATCCTACCCACCAAATTTCCTTTACATAAAAGACTTCAGAGAAGCTTACCATGGCTTCTCAGAATTCTCAATGATTATTTCAGAGATGGAAAAGCAATCACTAGGCTGTTGCTTCACATTTCATGTCTGGATCAGCCTGCAGAGTTGTAGTCCCATCAATATACATGTGTGAAAATCCTACATAAATCCTGCGACTTGAAATGATTTTGCTGTTCATTGTGTTCATGTGAATATGACTCTATTCTCTTGATTTAGAACTTGATTTATATTAAGGGCATTTTAATAGCATGCTCTCTGTGAAAGTAAGCATTTGTTTTTTTGTTTTTTTTTTTTCTCAAGGAAAACTGGTACTATGTGGAGAGCTTGGTTCCTTAGTTGTGGGTGGTTGGTAAACTGTGATGGAGGTGGCTAGCTATTCTGATGGGACTTTTGGGTGTTTGGGAAGGGGTGGTAACATGGTAGTACTGTGGCTTTGGTCATTCCCCAAGGAGTTATGGATGTGAGTGAGCCCAGAGGCTCAAAGGAACCTTCATATCATGAGCAGAAGGCAAAGCAGTGGCTGCCAAACAACATCTAATGTTCCATTGGAGCTAGCTGAAAGAGATTGAAATTTGGCTAACTATGAGTCCCCAAGGGCAACAAATACTCCTGAGAAAGATTGTAAATTGTGACTTGTAATAACATGCCATGTTATCAGTTTTTCTTTGATGAACAACTTTGCATTCAATAAATGAGATCAGTGCTCTAAGTACATCAGGGAAATCTTTCTGATGCCTGAAAGTGATATTCCTCTAAGTGTGGAATGGCCTTCTAAGGACAGGGGTAGGGAAAATGTGAGGGGTAGACAAGCTATAAGTCTCTATGAATCATTTCTCTAAAAGCCCATTTTATATTTTTACACGATGAGAAGCCATCTGGGAATCACCTTCTGTTGCTGGTGTGGCATAACAGTTATTCAATGTAATTCTGATAGGGGGGGATAGAGAGAGAGAAAGAAAGTCAAGTGGCATGGGCGAGCATTGGACTTACTATGAGAAGACCTGGGTTCCTATAGCCTTGCTGCTTAGAAGTTGTATGGTTTTGGGCAAGTCATTCAACCTCTCTAGATTTTAGCTTACTCATCGATAAAATGACAGGGTTAGCTTAGATGATTCCTGAGGATCTCTCCAGTTCTTGAGCCTATGACTAATGGATGGAAGTTGCCTAGGAGGTAGATTGTAGTCAAAATCAGGGAGCAAGTTCTTAGTTTTTAACAACTAGAACTAACAATGGAATGATAGGCAATTTCCTATCTTTGGAAGGGTTAAGTGGGGACTAAATAATCATCTGTCAGAAATCTCATAGAGGCTATTCCTATTCTGGATGGGAAGTTGCACTAAATGACTTTTAAGGTTCTGACCAAATCCAGCATACTACAAACAACAATCACTTTGGGGGAGAGATGGGGAGGGTTCTGCTGGTGAGGTGAAACAACTGATAAGCGTATAGTGATGTTGATTCTTCCATCCTCTTTCTTTTCTTGGGAGGTAGCCTAGCTCCTTCTCTCCTCCTTCCCCTTGACAAAAATGTGCTTATCCATGGCTTAACATGCCTGCTATGTGAGCCAATCCTTGTTACATTTTGTCGGAGGTTTGAAGGGACTGTTGTTTCTCCCAAATATCAGAGAAAGGTCTGGGTGGAGGATGGCTTATGGAAGAAAGGGCTATGACTGCTTCTGATTCTGTCTAATTGAATGACTTAGGGCCTTCTTATGCAAGAGAAAACAGAGACACATAGAATAATCATTCCTTACTCCAATATTGACATTTTTGGGTTCAGGAAAAAAAAACAAACAACCTTTCACATACCTAAGCCTCTGTGAACATCTCCATTTTGTTGGGGGTGGGGGAAAAGGATCAATCAGAGCTTTCAAAAATGACACAACTTGCAGGAGATGAGTTGGAAAAATTGGACATACTATAGTTTAGAGAAGATCAGCAAGCCTGATTTAAGGGTTGGGAGGACTGATTTATGATGAAAGATGAAAAGAATTAAATATATATGGCAAAGCTAAGTGGTGATGAAGGGGGAGCCATGGTAACAACCTACAAATCTCTGAAGAGTGAGAATGGCAGAGAAAGAGGAATTATTTAGTGTGGGCCTTAGAAGCACTGGGATGAGGATCACAAATGGTTCAATTTCAAGGATATGTACTTTCCTTCCCAGTGCCTGAAAGCAATTTTCTGACTGTAGAATGATCAGAAAAGGGATGGAACGTGTGGTCTAGATAAATTACAAGTGTATATCATAATTTTTTTTTAAAAAAAGTAATTTCAATGA